GGCGGTTGAGAAGAGTCCTATTTTCTGGGATAAAAGGCCGGGGACGTCGTTGAAAATCAACAGACGTTTCGGAACATGCCTCCATCTACAGGGTCGAGAAATAGGCCCAGCAAGAAGCCAGCATTAATTTCTGTTTCATTCTTGTTTCTTGCGTGACTTAATCTTCGAACCTGTAGATGGAGGCCGTATACTTCTCCGAATAATCAGTCGATTCTAAACGGACTTCATGATTTCATACCCCAGAAAATGAAACTCTTCATAACAACCGCAGTGAGAGCCTGAGAAACGATGAGTAAACAGTGAGGTTGGGTTAACTATGAATCCAACAATCAACCAATTAACCTTGTTTTGTCGAGCTTCATATAAAATGTATATAGACGAAACTGAAGATTCCATTTGTCTATCAGCCTCTCCATCTTGACGTCCGTCTACGCGCTTAACATAAGCCTACCAAAATACCAGGGTAGGAGCAAGACTAAATCCCACCCAAGAAGTCGAGAAATTCCACAGTCTCCTCAGTTAAAAACAGAGAAGCTTTCTTAAAACTTCGTCACAATAACACAAAACGACCAGTCACTGTGACAGAAACCCTCTTATAGTAAATTCACATCCAGGCTAGTGAACTTGCTCAGGCCATGAAAAACATTAGACTTAACGATTAAAACTGGCTTTGTGGCTTCACAAACCGTCTCTATCTTTTTAACATTATTAAGCAGGTTATTTCATGGCACCGTCAGCATCGACGACATATAGCGTCACAAGATAGAATGATAAATGAACGTGGTGCAGTTGATGGAATGAGAAATGGCAGGGGAAACCGAAGTACTCGGAGAAAACTCGCCCCAGTGCCACATTTTTTCATAAGTCCCATATGGCCTGATCTGGGATCGAATCCGAGCAGCCGGTGATTAGCGGCCTGAGTTACGGTCCATCTGTAATGCCACTTCTTCGAGCAGTGTTATTCAAACTGTCGGACAAACTGGTGACCATTACATGAGCGGTCGGCGCGCGCTATAGCACCATTCCCCGCTGCACCATTGCACGTTTTCTCTAAGAACAGGAGAAAAATTATAATTAATGTTACCACGAACTGCTTCTTCTACCCGCCAATTTAAAAATTTCTTTATTTAAATTAAGTATGTTCCTTACTACACGTCATGTAATACTATATGGACTACGGATTATCTTGTAGACAGCCATGGACCATCTGCTTTAGCGGTTAAGACTCTCGACAATGTGCGCGCATGAGCAGTGAATGTTTAAGAGCACTTTCTCGTTTGCAGATAATGCTGTTCAGTAACTTAACTAGGATGTATATTGGACGGATATTCATGTAAATGACATAAATTCACACGGAGCTGACTCTCGNTTTGCAGATAATGCTGTTCAGTAACTTAACTAGGATGTATATTGGAGGCTGACTCTCTTGGGGGTAACGTTCTTTAATTTTGTAAGATTTGAGGTTTTCGCGGCGGTGAGTATGAAGAATGCTGTCTTCTGGGATGTTGCGCCTTGTAGATCGTATGTGAACTGACGTTTCGACCCGCAGCCACCTGCTCACACTGGTTTCTCACTTGCGGATTTTTCTACCTTGAAGATGGAGGCGATACGTTCCTCCAGAACGTCTGTTCACATACGATTTACACGGAGCTACATCCCAGAAGACGGTATTCTTCCATAATTTCATTCGGGTCGTTCCAACCTCCAATTTTGGCCGGCTTAACGTTATTCTGAACTCCGTTCGTGGTTTAACTCGGTCCCTTCATATAAATAACAGTGCCTGTAAAAATTTGTGGCTGCATCCTTCTAAATCTTTACGCAACCCTTAATCCTGATCGTCTGGCCCTCCCTTCGCAGGTTACATATTTGCTGTTAAAATGACACTCTTGCAAGCAACGTCCTTAAACTATCTGAACATCAACAACTACATACAGACTCACAGACCGGATATACTGTAAAGGTCACTAAATTTACATTTCTATTTAGAGCGTTTTATTTAGAAAAATATAAAATTTTGTCACCCTCTCATCCTGTGGGAGAAGCAGCAGGAGCAGATAGGCTAAATATATTTATTTATTTATTATGGCCGCCTCTGTGGTCTAGTGATCAGAGTTCCCGGCCACAGATCCTCAAGTTCCTGGTTCGATTCCCGGCGCTACCAGATTCTCTGAGTAGTAGTAGATCTGGAACGCGGTCCACTCAGCCCCGTGAGGATAACTGAGGAGCTATTTCAACGAAATAGCGGCTCCGGTATAGAAAACCGGAATTAACGGCCGTGAGGATCTGTTGCGCTGACCACGCGATACCCTCTATCCGCTTATGTTGGCACCAACTTCGCCGACAAGCGGCGGTCGCTCGGTCGGTATAGTTCACTTGCGGACTCAAGCGAAGGAGTTTTTTATTTATTTATTTATTTATTTACCTATTTTACTTACTGTACTTATTTATTTATTCAATTATATATTTATTTTCTTATTCTATTTATTTAATTATTTATTTGCTTATTGATAATTCCACGGCGCTGTCAGTAGCTCAGACTACAATAATGCCAAATGACTGGATGATTGCTGAATAAGGAATCAAAACATCTGGAAGAGAACATTCGTGGCATAATTTGATATACTAAACCATTTACTGGGCCGGTCACGGTAGCCGAGCGGTCTAAGGCGTGCACTGTCTTCGCTCGCTCGGAAGCCGGGATCGTGGGTTCGAATCCCACTCAGGGCATGGATGTTTGTGTGCGTTTTTCTGTGTTTGTCTACAGGTAGAGGCCTTGCGACGAACTGATCACTCGCCCAAGGAGTCCTACCGTATGTGCAAGATCTAGTAAACCGAAGTGAAAAGGAGATTTTCATGGAGGTAGGCACAGGCACAAATGTGGGCTGTAGCGCCACAGGAAAAAGGAAACCATTTAGTGGACCGAGTAATACAACTAAGAGCTTCAGTCAGAATAGCAGGTCTTCGGAATGAGATCTGAACCCCAGGCCACCAGAATATGAAGCAAGAGTGTTTCTCAAGTCGACCGCGACCATCAGCATCTCAATTTAATACAAAGCTGTTATTTGTGATATAAAAAAAGATTTCATTAAACATTATGAATTCTTACTGTTGGGTCGAAAACTGAAAGGAAGTTGCTTGTTAGATGCTTGAAGCAGTATTAGTCACACAAACAGCATAAAGCCTACGTGTGTATGCAAAGCTGGATAAGAAAATTAGGTGTCATAACACTGAGCTGGAAGCGTTAATAGCCGCTTTCTCGTTCTCTGATTACAGGCCGTGAGAAATGATTGTACGTCACACATCACAGATCTAACCACCTTCAGGTCACGGTTGAAGAATCAAGGTCGAAAAGGTCCGAGTGTGAAGGAGGTCAAGGGCCGACAGCGGGAGTATGGTTCCAAATTAAATTTAAATACAGTAAAAAAGCAGAAGTTGCTGCTCCCACTCTACTTCAACTCCTCCGTACAGATCTTGTACAAAACAGACTCGCAACTATCTACAGTGCAGCTCTGAATCTTTGCTTCACTGACCCTGATATTCTTTTGGGACTTTTCTTGTTAGCTCAGGGCTAATACTGGGACAGCATCTCCAAACAGAAGATGAACGTTTCCTTTCAAATCCATATGCATTCAACATTTTTGATCTTTTCTCATTCAGTGCTATACATCTTACGTTGTTCGAACAGTTGTTACATAACTTACCATTTATTATTATTTATTTCTTACGGGGTGAAACTGCGTCCACTGTTTGGGCTATCGTACCTGTCCCAGATGATGATGATGACGATGATGATGATGAGTGTTGAGCAGTCGGTGGAATCAGAATTGTCAGGGGAAACCGAAATACTCGGAGAAAACCTGCCCTAGTGCCACTTTGTCCACAACAAATCCCACATGACCAGAACCGGGCTCGAACCCGGGCCGTCGCGGTGGGTAGCCGGCGACTAATCGCCTGAGGTCTGGCGCGGCCTACATAACGTAAGAATGCTGGATAAACATACTCTAAATGTTAGAACGCGTTCTCCGGGAGTCTGCAGAATTCATTGCTCTTCATGTTCACTTGTTGCAGATGCAGCTGTTCGAAGGGCTAATTGAAAGTAGATCTAGACCTGCTACGTTGCAGAGTCAGTTACTGTCTACAGAGCTAATCAAAATGGCGGATATTACGCACAACTATCCAATTTATTCCTTCTTCAGAAGCTAAGCAAAAATTCCCCACATATCCCCACCCAGCCTGTTACGGGACCAGAAGGTTCACTGCCGTATTCACATGAGTCTGGTACTGGATCCTAACCTGACCCACTTGAATCCAATCCACAACCTCTTTAAGATCCTTCTTGACAAAGTCCTTCCATTTAGACCCGTGCCTCCAAAGTGGTCTTTCCTTTCAGGTTTATAGACTAAAATCTTCCATGTCCACAGAACAGTATATATTTGTCGGGAGATTCAATGAAACCCTTAACCAAATTGATTTTTGTACTCTAATTAAACCGAATTTATACCCTGCTAATCCATCTGCCCTGCAGAAACTCAAGACATTCCGAATTCCGAAATTCATAAATTTGTTTATGAACTCGCAGCTAAGCCGTAGAATATCCCTTTCACTGCTTAAAATTACGTTTAGTTTTAATAATTTCCTTCTTCTCTTCAATTCTAATTTTCCTTTAAAAAGGTCCCGGAAGGGGGAGATGTCTAGTCCCCCACTTCTCCAGCGATTAAACTCATGTTGTGTAATATTTCGTGAAGCTGAACTAGAAAGACTTATTTTCTGTCGTCCATTTCTCACATCTCTACAAACTGATGGGCGGCGGTCCACACGAGTGACGTATGAACATACTCGTTAAATCTTCAAAGAATGCATCATGCTGTGTTAACTTATATTAATTTCGTTTGTTTATCCGTCACAACACAACTCTCAAAATCTCTTTCATATTAACTGTAAATAACAAGTTTACTGACTTCAATATTATCTTGCTACATGTAGCAAGGGGACCTACGTACCCAAATTAAATTTATCCGTTCAAGGAGCATGCGCTGTAGTCTCTGGCAGAGTGCGCGGTCGTAAGCAACATGCACTGGCTCTCCTCACATCGAAATACTGAACTCTGAAATTACAAGCGAATATATTTATATACACCCAGTTGGGCCAGCTCCGAGCACTTGCTTTTCTCCACGCATCAGTAAGTGGTTCAAGTCTAGTATCTTCCACGTCATGGAGGCCAATTCCGCTGCTTCTCTCATACATATACCACTCAAGATCAAGCCTCTCACAGTCCCTAGGGTGTAGTTAACCAGACGTTGTTGAACAAGGCTGAAAAGACCACGGCATACAAAATGGACCATTCTGCAGCATGAACCATTCATTCTCCTCTTTGCTATGTTGGTTTAGGTCTCTGCAGTATAGTTTGATCAAATTTACGTTTCCATATGAATATATACAATTTTTCCTATTCAAAAACATTCTTGCTCCTCTCTACATAAGTATGTATTCTCCACTTTGCATGATTGTTAAATTGAATTGAAATGTGTGGGTTCTCAGTTTCTCCAAGTTTCGTGATATTCAATGAAATGGAAGTTTCGATGGTAAACTGTAGCGATAATATGTCTGTTTCTTAACTTCTGGAAAGAAATATGCGGGAAAATATATACGTAAATATACGCAAATGGATATTACAGAAATAGGTTCGTAAAGTAAGTAAAGTAAAGTAAAACTCTCCCTGTAACAGGCCGTGAAGGCCCATAGGGCTGTGAGACGTAGAGGGTCCCACATTATCTAGACAATCGGCTCAAAGATGGCGGCAAGGTTGTCAGCCTTACGCGCCGGCCGCGCTTTACTCCCCAGGAAAATATGTTTTATTATTTAAGACTCTAAGTCGAAGCTGTGTAGGCTCAATACTGACAGAATCGTTAAACAATGAACTTACATAACAAATATTTTAAGAATATTTTCTGAAAGAGAATAATATTCTTATGTAGTTTTAGTTAATGACCAGGGATCAAAACTTGAACAGTATATTGATTTCTAAAATTTTGACCTGTGTCCACAATTCTGAGAACTGCTGCGATATTGTTAGCGCTGTGTAAAGCAACACGCTCTTTCAAAATGTTTCTTATGTACTAGTCATCGGTATTTTACTACACCATTATCACATTTTAAAGCCCAAAAGGAACGTAAATAATAGTTAAAAATCCATTTCGAACCCGTCAGAATCCACTGCACCTCCATTAGTAACAGCAATGGTTGAATTCTTTGGGAAATGAAGCATCTGGATGTTAAAACAGGCGATAGTCTATATACATGTAGGGTTTGAAGCGCTCGGAGCGCTGATTGTGAAGCGTTCTATCTTCTGGGTTCTAACGCTGTGTAGTCTGTCGAGAGGGAACTGACATTTCGGAGGAACATGTCGCCTCCACCTTCAGCTCAAAAGACGAAGCCAAGGATGAAACCATCGTGAAAGCATGTGACAACGTTGGTTGAATTTCGACGGGCTCCATAGGCCTTTTATCCCTGTAGACAGAACTCTTCGGCCTCACTCACTCATGGAGCTGAGCCCTTCTTGCAAAGCTACCAATTGTGCAGCTACACAAGAATTTACCAGCATTTTATGGAACCCGAAGGTTCATTACCGTGTTCACAAGAGCCCTACACTCGTCCCTGTCCTGAGACAGATCAATCGAATCCATACAATCCCATCCTATCTCTCTAAGATCCATTGCAATATTGTTCACCCGCCTACACCTTGGTCTTCCAATTGGTCTCTTTCCTTCTGGCTTTCACACCAATATCCTATACGAATTCCTCTTCCCCAATTTTTGCTACATGTCCTGTCCATCTCATCATCCTTGTCTTCATCATGCTAAGAAGCTCGTCATTATGCAGTTAGAGCTCTTCAGCCTACATATTGTGACGTATCTGCGCTATGCAGGACAGCCCCTCCCCTGCCAGCGGTGACGTAACAGCATTGGAGCCCTGCCGCTGCTACGGTAACAGGCCAGTTAACACTCCAACCCCCTCCCCCGCGGTGACGTAACAGCATTTCCCACTATGACGTAACACGGGACACCGCTGGTAACACGAGGCAACAGGGAACGGTATAAAAAGCCGACTGAGCAATATGTGAGCAGAGTGTGTGATCAGGAGTGACACAGTGTGGATCGTGTAGTCGCCGAGAGCAGTGGATGTAATTGTGATACTGCCTATGGCAGTAATTGTAATTGTTAATTGTGTGAGTGTAAGGGCGAATGTGGAAAAATTCGCTATATCCAATACGGCGTGAAGTTATTTATCGCGTGTCACACACCCAACACGTGACAATATAGTAACCATTGGGCTTTAAAAGGTTGAATTGACATCCTTTCTCACTACTACCCACTACTAAACTGCCCAATTTCTAGGCAGCACTGAGTGTAACACAGTTTCAACCCGATGACCTGAATTTCGAAAGAGGTCCATGTTTGGCATTGGGAACATAACGAATGCTTCATTATTCGACCAAGTTTGAAAAGACGCTAAATATTACAGTCACCTGCTATGTTAAGAAACTTAGACTTGAAGATTAACCTTGGTTCAAATGCAACTCAAAAATGTAATAGATCAGAAAGTTTTCGTTTTAGATTATTACAAAAGTAGAAAACAATTTCCTAACTTCTATGTACACCGTAAAGAACCGGTGTCACAGAATTCCTGTCCTCAGGTTCTCGCTACCTGTGTCTGTCGCGGCAACTCCGACTTCCACAGCTGCAGCTGTTCCAGCGTTCCGGCCTACATTGCAGTCGCCATTTCTGGGCGTGTCTCTGACTGCAATGCAACTGCGATTGCAATGTATACCTACGCCAAAACGTGGAACAGCTGCAACGTACGACGTAGCTAAATCCCAAAAGCCGAGGTTACACGTTACCATATCATCGTCTAATAGCGTATTTTCTTATAAGTTTACTTTGTTTCTTTATGGCTTATGGTCCAGTAATTGAGGCTAGCTCTTTCTAACGGGCCTAATAAGAGTACGTATCTCCCATCCCTTCACCTGAGAAGAAAACAGATCCAGGTTCAGAAAGATTGTGTTCCTTACTGTTCTTTAGAATAATGGACGATGGACAAAGTCCAGAATCCCAGTAATCCCGGAAGCTGTCAGGAGCTAAGACTGCAACACCCTCGAGGCCTAACATAAGGTAACTATACCATCTGTATTGGTGACAATGAGATCAAGGTGACGGTTACTAGTTATGCAGATTTTACAGTGTTGTATCATCTGATGAGATTACGTAATGTTGAATGGAATGCGATAGGGCGATGGTGAATTAGGCATGCAGATAGAAGCCGTTGCAGCCTATGTCTAGTTAATACACAAAGCACTGCATGGGAAGATTGAAGAAAAGAACGAAAAAGAATTCTAGCTAACTGGTAATCGGTCCGGATTCAAACCGGATTAACTTCAAAATGGGTGCCTGGCCTGTTGCCACTGTCGGCAAAATCCGATAGTACGAAACTAATGAAAACTAAATAGTGGCAAGAAAGCAAGAAACATTGCAGTTAAGTTTGCCCAAGAACTTTTCGTATCCCAAGTCTCACCAACACAGACCTAACTAAGACACTCCACCGCATAATTAATAAAGGGTAAGGAAAAACTTACCGATATCCGATACAGCGTAATACTGCTGAAGGTGACTGACTTCGCCAAGAGACTAGCCCATTTTTAACTGTGTTGAATGAACAGGGACCGCCTCTGTGGTGTAGTGGTCAGAGTTCCTGGCTTCGATTCCCTGCGCTACCACATTTTCTGAGAAGTAGTGGGTCTGGAACGGGGTCCACTCAGCCTCGTGAGGATAATTAAAGAGCTATTTAAAGGAAATAGTGGCTCCGGTCAGGAAAACGGAAATTAACGACCTGGGGATTCTTTGCGCTGACCACGCGACACCCTTTATCAGCTAAAGTTGGCACTATTTATTTTATAGTTAGTGGGGTGGGACTAAGTCCCTTGAACTGCGGCCACTTCTGGCCTATTGTACCAGCCCCAGATTATAGGTGAAAGTGATTGTGGAGCAACTGGTGGAATGAAGATTGGCAGGGGAAACCCAAGTACTCGGAGAAAACCTGGCCCAGCGTCACTTTGTCCACCCTAAATCCCACTTGACCAGACCCCCGGGATCGAACCCGGGCCGCCGCGGTGGGAAACCAGCGACTAACCGCTTGAGCTATGGTGCGGCCCAAGTTGGCACTAACTTCGCCGACTAGCGGCGGTCGCTCGGTCGGTATAGTTCGCTTGCGGACTAAACCCACGGAGTTTGTTCTCTGTTTTTTTTTTGTTAAACGAACATGATCGAAGAGAGACTGTAATTTAAAGAGATCATATTCTGTGATAATTAGCTTATTATAAAATTCCGTTCTCCATAATAGACACGATGGTCACGATGGCGTCAAATATTAAATAATGCTGTCTTCAAAACCGATTTGGTGGCATTCATGAGATCAATTCTCGGCCGAGAACCTCTCAAAAGAAGGTTGGTTTAGTTCTTTTCACATTCTGCCTGTATAATACTTTAAACAGGCCACGACTACTGTGACACAGGAGCCGGGATAACTCAGTCAGTACAGCGATGGGTTAGTGGCTGGACGGCCGGGGTTCCACTTCCGGCAGAGGCAAAGGATTCTTCTCTGTTTCTCAGCGTCCTGACCGGTTATGCGGCCCACTCAGCCTCATACCCAATGGGTACAAGAAGTCCTTTTCCTGAGGATAAAGTGGTCTGTGCGGAAGCAGACCTCTCACTATCTAGTGCCGAGGTCAAGAATAGTGGAGCTAAACAGCTATTCCCCATATATCTTCATGACGTGGTGCTTAATTAATTAATCCCAGGGACAGCTTCATCTTTACCACTCCAACACATCCCACCCAATTGTCCCACTCACAATTGCGGAATTTCCGATTAATGCATAACTGTAGTATTTATACAACAGATTTACAAATTAAATTCTCACTAAAACTTTCGTGCACCCTTCTGCTAGGGTCCCGGCGAACCAAGCCTGATAATGGGCACGTAACACCTCTCACATACGAAACAATCTATTG